CTCCGGCTACTTGGGATTATTGTTGTTCTTGTTCGTTTTGTTGTTGTTTTCCCGCCATAATCGCCGTTCTACCATAAATCAGTTCAACACAGTGCCTGCTGCACAGTTTCGTCCGTCAACAATCAATACAATGGCCATTCATCGCATCCACCACGAATCAGTGGTGTACAACTCAGCCGACCTTCGCCTCAAACTCAGGAATTTCAAGCAATTTTCGTTACAAACTTCGTCACATTCAGTCAGCTTAATCATCCTTCATTACAAGGAAGAAGGTGGAAAAAGGAGGGGGGAGGTGGGAAGGAGTTACTTGAGGTTTTGGTAGATTTTTAACTCATTTAAAATATTCATAAAATTTTTTTTCTGCGAAAATTTTATGTAAATTTCAGTTGCTCTGTAATTTTTCGCCGGATTTGGGACGCGTTACGAGAAATAAATTGAAAACAGTTCTGAAAACAGAAACCTCACCACCCAAAACACCAACAGCGCGACCGGATGGAGCGGGGCCAGCGAAAGGAAAGAAGGGACGAGGCGGAAAGGTATGATTTCTTGGGATTGCCATCACCAGCTCCGCATTTTTCCCTACATTTGCCCCATTCCAAGCCTATGTTTTTGTTACAAAATAGAAAATTTTCCTCACATTTATATGTTTTTCTTGTTTTCACTCTTCTTTTCTAGCACCTTTTTAAATCATTTTTTCCGAAAATATCGATTGTTTCCTTATTTAATAAAAAAAGTATATTATTTAATAGAAGAAAGTATATTTGATAGAAAAGTATATTAATAGAAAAGGTATATTAACAACGGTTGAAATAAGAAGAATCAAAAAGGAAAATAGAAAATAAGAATTACAAAAATTAGTAAAATTACTTTAATAAAATGATTATAATATTTAAATTCTATTTTATCACAGAATAATGGAGCATCCACATCGACAGTAGCAGCAGCAGCAGCTTGGAGGCCAACTGAAGATGGTCTCCGAAGTGTTATCAAAGCTGAAAGTGAAACGTATGAGCGAAGCAGTGAAAACGCACCAGAAAAGGTTATTTTTGTGGGGGGAGGAGGGGTGGGAGGAGGGATGTACCCGACATTTTCTTGTACCCGACTTACCAGGATTTGTTCATACACGTCATCCACGACTGCAGTTACCTCCGTGCCCTTCCTTTTACTTTTCTTTTTCTTACATTTTTTTACACTTCCCATTTTTACACTTCCCTTTTTCGCCATATATTTTCCTTTTCTCCTACTATTACTTCGACTTCTTTTGTTTAACATGTTTTTATCTTAATTAATTTATATACCTTACTAAATTACTGTGTTACCACAGTCATCGTAGTGACGAGGTCCAATTGTGGTAACGGTAAGAAATGTATACGACTTAATGGAACGAAACATTTCTTTCCTATTACAAATATTTCTTTGTACA